TCTCTCTTAGTTTTTCATATTCCAGTATTTTTTTATCAGTTTAGTCCCGTACTCCCCCCGCCTCCCACCCTTCTCTCTCTCTCTCTCTTTGCCTTGTGTGTGATGGGCTCGCTCGCTCGGCCCGCTGCGTGCTTTTTTGAAACGGAATGAGAGAGAGGGAGAGCGAGAGCGAGAGAGACAGAACAAGATCGGGGGTCGAAGTTTGGTTTATAAAGACCCACTTGAACCGCGGGTCGGATGAGAGCGGCTAAAATCAAGCCCCCCCCCCCCCCCCCTGCGCGCTTGCGGTAAAGATAAGTTGTTGACACACAGTGGTGCGAGAATCGTGGTTTAAGGTAATAGTGTCTTTGGGAGAGGTCCTCTTCCTTTCCTCTCTCACCCTGCCTCTCTCTGTCTCGTGGGGGCGAAGATGTACACCTTAAAGTTTAGGGTTCCGTCTCGCGGCGCTCTCCCCGCCCCTCCCCGCTTCCCGCTATCTCGTGGTCATGCCCGTCTCTCTCTCTCTCTCTCTCTCTCTCTCTCTCTCTCTCTCTCTCTCTCTCTCTCTCGCTCACTCTTTCTCTGTCTTTCTCTCCCGCACCAACAGCGGCCAGCCGGGCTGGCCTGCGTATTTGTCACTCTCTTTGTTGCGCGCCATAAGCGGTGAGGAGATTGTCCTTTCACTGCCGGGAAGTCGCGATAGGGTGTATACAGCGGCGCGCCCAGAATCGGAGCAGCGGGCGAGGGGAGGGGAGGGGGCAGCGGGGGAGGGGAGGGGTGGTCGTATTATTTATCGTCTATCCGTGTTGGTCGCTGCAGAGCGGTATCGGTCCGAACCACCACAGAAAAGAAGAAGAAACTGGGGGTTGTGTTTTCTTTTATCCTTCCTTTCTTCTTTTTTTTTACGGTGTATTTATCTTCCCGAAGGAAGGCAGAGAGCCCCGAGCAAGCGTGCGAAAAGCTCGTCCTCTAGAATGACGCGGCGGGGTGGCGGGCAGCAGGACCCGACACGTGAGGTTCATCCTTGGCAGGGTGTGTCCTTGAGCTCCAGGGTGCGGAGGTGCTCGCCGTGTGCCGCTCCAGGACCCTCACTTTCACGTCCAGGGAAGGGAGAAGCTCGCCGTGCAGCTCCAAGAGGCTCACCTTGAGCTCCAGGATGTGAAAGTGCTCGCCGTGTACCGTTCTAGGACCCTCACTTTTACGTCCAGGGAAGGGAGAAGCTCGCCGTGCAGCTCCAAGAGGCTCACCTTGAGCTCCAGGGTGCGCAGGTGCTCGCCGTGCCGCTCCAGAAGCGCGGCCACGTCCTGGAAGTCCAGGTGCGCGCGCTGGCCCGACGACACGCACACGGCCGAGAGCAGGTGCAGGCGCGGCAGGTGCTGCGCGGGCGCCAGCACGTCGTGCGGGGTCTGCGGGTCGAAGCGGGCGCGCAGCTGCGTCGCGCTGGGGCACAGCCGCACGGCCAGCTGCAGCGCGTCCGCCGGCAGCACCGGCTCGGGGCTCATGCGGCAGCGTATCTGTAACAGTTCAAAAAAAAAGTTTGAAAAAATCATAAAAATAAACAAATTCCAATGTCGATTTTTTTCAGCGCACTGTTGTGCGCAAAAAACATTTTCAGTGACAAACTACAAAACTTCAGGCTTGTTTTAGAATTCTTTTCTTTTAGATTTTCGTCAAATTTTCGGCTTTACCACGTGTGAAAAGTCGGCGTCCAGGTTGCGGAGCTTGTAGGTGGGCAGGTCGGCCCCGGAGCGCCAGCCGGCGGCGTGCAGGTGGTAGAGCGCCGACACCAGCTGGTAGTGGCGCAGCAGGCGCAGGTGCGGCAGCTGCCGGAGGGTGTCCTTGATCTGCTCCGCCGACGCCTGCGCCTCGCCCAGGTGCAGCTCGACCAGCTGCAGCTGCTGGGACGGCTGCAGCTTCACGTCCGGGACCTTCTGGTGCTCCGTGGAAAGCGCTCTGCGACCGAAGACACACGCGTGTGGGGGGCTGTTGGGGGGGGGGGGAGTAAAATACTTAGGGCTCCCAAATGGATCAGGATCATCATTATGAAGTTCATAGAACTCCCCAATATTTTCACCCTGGGGTACAAATATCATAAGGGCTGCTACCGACTCCGATATGATGGCCAGCGTTTGCGTGACCTATAAAAAAAATTGATATTCCCATTGGGTAACAATTTGCCTGACATGGCCTTGATAACCATTCCTGGACACATGTCACTGGTGAAAAGTGGAAAAGGGCGTAAGTCCTCGCGGACTAGCCATTGGACTTACGCCCTTTTCACTTTTTTACCAGTGATGTGAGAAAAGTACCTCCACCGTGGCGCGCTTAAAAAACTAATGTCGCGACCTCATTTGCGCCGAGCGCCCCTCATGGACTAGAGATGAGAGATACGCGGCGCGCTGCTGTAGAGGAGGCCGCCGCGCGGCCACTTCGGGCTCCTGAGTGCTTTCGTCATCGGATCCCGATTCGCTGTGTCGGGGGCCGTGTCTCCCTGCTCCTGGTGTGCGAGGCGAAGAAGAGCCGAGAGCTGAGCAAGTGCAGCTCGACACCGGCGGCGGAGCCCTTCCACAGAGCTAGAAACTTTGAATCCGTGCTCTAGCTGTTTGCCGCCAGCAGAAACCCCGCCCCGCCCCGCCATGCCCCGCCCTCGGTACACTATTGCTCCCGTTTGCTGCCGCTAACGCTCCAGTGGACAGATTTTCCTCTTTCCCCCAGTTACAGGATCCAGCCGCGCGCTTCCGGCGGCACACCTTTCCAGGGAACACTTTTGGAACGGAACGCGCCCGCTGCTGGCTTGCGCAGACGAGCTTGCAGAAGCCACGCCTTCCAAAGTCAGGCAGGAATATCCCTTGAAAACTTGTCGCCCAGTCGCTTCGCCTGTCTTCGCAAAGTGGCACGACGAGTACCCCCCCCCCCCCCTTCCCCGCCTCTGCTCTCGCAAGGATTATCGTTATCGAAAGAGGACCATCCACTCTAGTCCAGAGACGGAAAGAGGGAGGAAGAGAGAGAGAGAGAGAGAGCAGAGAGAGAGAGAGAGAGAGAGGGGGAGGGGGGGCACGATCGGCGGGGAATCTAGCTCTCAGCTTTCAGACGCGCCCACGGTGTTCTCCGCAACTATCCGCTGTACACTCTCAGAATCATTACCAACGGATACTGCACATAATATGAACGACAACAACAACAGCGGGGACGCCGTCATAAACTTTCTTTTTTGTGACAGTGAGACTGTTTTACCTTTGCATTTCCAGGGGGCTGGCTTACCCTTACCGGATCAGTTGTCGGTTGTTGTTTGTCCTGACCCAAACAAAACAA